CTCCCTCTCTAGTCCTCATCCCTCTATCCCTCTCTAGTCCTCATCCCTCTATCCCTCTCTAGTCCTCATCCCTCTCTCCTCTCTAGTCCTCATCCCATCCCTCTAATCCCCCCCCCCCTCTCTAGTCCCTTCTCTCTACCCTCTCTAGTCCTCATCCCTCTATCCCTCTCTAGTCCTCATCCCTCTCTCCCTCTCTAGTCCTCATCCCTCTATCCCTCTCTAGTCCTCATCCCTCTATCCCTCTCTAGTCATCATCCCTCTATCCCTCTCTAGTCCCATCCCTCTCTCCCCTCTCTAGTCCTCATCCCTCTATCCCTCTCTAGTCCTCATCCCTCTATCCCTCTCTAGTCCTCATCCCTCTATCCCTCTCTAGTCCTCATCCCTCTATCCCTCTCTAGTCCTCATCCCTCTATCCCTCTCTAGTCCTCATCCCTCTATCCCTCTCTCCCTCTCTCCTTCCTACATCTTACATAAGCCTCCCCCCAGAGCATGACAGCATCTGGTGAACAGAGGGTATATGCTAGATGCATTGAAGTGCAGCATGGGAGGGAAAGTACAGGGAATGTAAATGGCCCTGCCAAGTCAGGTTGAACAAGGAGCCGCAGAGCAGAGAGTCTTAGATGACAGGCTGTGATATAAAACACAGTCTCAGTCAGCCCTGGGCCAGCCAATCAGAAAGCGGTCCTGGGTGGTGGTGTGGGACAGGGTCTGGGGAGGGGGAAAGGGAGGGGCCATGGTGGGGTGCAGAGTGAGACCAGTGGGGTGCAGAGTGGAACCAATGGGATGCAGGGATGCAGGAAGTGGGCGGGACTGTAGTGGGATTGGACGAGAGGCACTAACGGATGGCCTGTGTGCAAAACCACAAAACTTTATGACAAAGCAACACCACACTAAGAGGATGCTGGGAAAAAAACACACCGGGTGTGTGTGTATTACGTGCACAAGCCAGTGTGTGTGTGTGTGCATGTGTTTATGTACCTGTTTACAAAGGTGTGTGTGTGTGTGTGTTTATGTGTGTGTTGTTAGTCCAGTTATCTAATTTGAACACCTACTGTAGATTAGTTAGCAAGCGGGTGTTAGTGCCTGGTTAGTAACTGTACACCAACGTCAAATAAGGGGCGCGTTCAACAGTACGCAACGTTTTGGAACGTTCACATATAAATATGCTATGTAGACCAGAGATGCCTCTCTGATAGTGTATATGGAATAAGGCATCACGGCGGCTCTATGCATGGCATTTCTATCTGCAACATTCAATAACGTTCGGCTACTGAACATGGCCCGGAAGTTCCATTGGTTACCTGACCAACCAAATAAACGATCGCATCTTAAAACACACAATATGAAAAAAAAAAAAAAAAAACAGTATTACAAAACAATAGTTAACAGTATTAGTAGTAGCTGTTACATCACACCAACAATAGTAGCATCAGTAGGAATCTTCATCATCATCATCGTAGATAATCCTAACAATTCTGTCCTCCAACCAACGAAAACCTTCTTAAGTACGATCTCTGTCTAAGAGGAGGACCTGTGGACACACATACTATTTTTTTAAATATTTGTTTTGCCCCATCCAAAAATAGATATTTATACGCGGACCAGTTTTATACAGTAAACAGAAAGGGATAGTTCAAATACCAGAGTATATTCAGAAGGACACATTTTCTAGATTTGCAATTTTTCTTGGGTGCATTGTAAAAAAAAAAAAAAAATCATAGCAGTTAGTGGAAATAAAATAAAATAAAAGTGTCAAATGCTCAATTTTCAAACACTAACAATAGTTATTATAGAATTCGTGAAAGTATTGAGAGAGATGCATTAATAAAAAATGGTTTTGACAGTATTTTACAGTAATATACTTTACACATACATATTCTGACTTTTAATTGCATTTGTGAAAACTACAGTCTAGCTAGGTAGGGATATAGGCGTTCTATCACGTCATGTGTTATGCCATGTCACTTGCTAATTGTCGGTGTTGAAACGTAACATTCTTATCCCAAGGATAAATTGCACTGCACACGTTTTTAAGTACAATCAATGAATATAAGAATATAGTAATTCACATTAAAGTCTAATGATCATGGATAGTAGGTATTCACAAACTTCCAATACAATTCATTAAACTGTTGTGTGGGGGGAAAAAATGCCCCCGAGATATATTAATTCAGATTGTATACTGGTATGGTTGCTTTATTCCACTGTACTAAAGCAATATTTAAAAAAAATACTTCACAAATATTTGAAAATACTACTAGTCATTTCACCTTTTGTTCTCCAATGTCATGTCCCAAGTGATTGGGGAGGTTTTATGAAGTAACACTCATTGAGGAGTGTTTATGAAGAAACACTCATTAGGGAAGGTTTATGATGTGACACTCCAGCTATTAGTCTGTGGACCTAGGCCAGGATTCAATCCCATCACCATTTGAAGGTTGCTAAGCGCCATTTAAAGGTGGCCAAGAACCATTTAAAGGTTGCTAAGCGCCATTTAAAGGTTGCTAAGCGCCATTTAAAGGTTGCTAAGCGCCATTTAAAAGGTAATTTCCAACATACGCAGTTTACCGTTAATTGCGGTCTCAGCGAACGCGAGAACATTGCCTTTCAAAAGTTCATATAGCCGGACAAAGCAGGATGGGATTTAACCCCCAGCCTAACAGTATAACTGTAGGCGTGACTCTGGCCTTGCTGGTTCCACAACGGAGCGGGGACAGAAGGCAAAAAGCTGTCCATCAAATGTTTACATCGGTACGTAACTGGAATGACGCTTAGCGTTTCACATGCTTTGTTATATGTGTGTGTTAGACCATATCATATTCACACCAACAAGTAACACACCGATTGTCTTTTCACACACTCCTCTAGCCTTTACTCTTCACAAACCTACATATCTTTTACAAAAAAATAAAAAATAAAATCAAAATTCCCTCTTGCACATCTTTGTGTCTGAAATCTTTCTGCACATGTTGCGTTTCTCTTCATTTTGACGCTTTGTTCATTGGTAACCAAACATTAGTTGTTTAGAATACGCCTGCATTCGACTCAGCCTGTGATCTCGAGCTCAACCAGTGAGAGTACAAACCTGGTCTCAAGAGTATTTCGTATTATTCTATACGTAAATGTTTTTTCTTTCTCCATTTAGTATGATATGTTATGTTTCATATGGTATGTATTAATTTGTGGACGTCCCATCACCCATTTCGTATGATATGTTACGAATTACAATTTGTATGATATGTTATGAATTTCGCAAAACGCACAATATGTTACGATTTTTGCAAAATGTACAATATGTAACAAATTTGCTAAACGTATGATATGTTACAAATTCCAATTTGTTGTGGCTAACTTTAGATAGGTTGCTAACGCTAATGTTAGCTAGGTGGCTAAAGCTAATGTTAGCTAGCTGGCTAACGTTAGCTAGGCTTGGGGTTAGGGTTAAAGAGACATTTCAAAATTGTTCTTCATATTCATAATCTCCAGCACATACATCAACGTGTGTAATAATGGCGCGTTTCTATGTTTTGAAAAAGATAGAGGAAGATATGTTTTTCAAATGACATCATCAACCAATTAGTAAACAATTAGTAGGCAATGCCTATTCATAATTGGTTAAAATCACACGATGCACACCGATGATGCTATTGGAAACACTTTTTTACTACAAAACATAGAAACGCGCAATTTTCACATATGTTGGTGGTGCTGAAGATGATGAATATGTAGTTGAGAAATGTGGACATTTCCCTTTAAGGTTAAGGGTTAAGGTTAAGGGTTAGCTAAAAGGGTTAAGGTTAGGGTTAGGAGAAGGGTTAGCTAAAAGGGTTAAGGTTAGCGTTAGGGTTAGGGTTAGCTAACATGCTAAGTAGTTGCAAAGTAGCTAAAATGCTGAAGTTGTCCGTGATAAGATTAGAACACGCAACCCTTGGTGTTGCTAGACGTTTGCGTTATATACACCCACCCATCCACCCCGACCAACTACCCTCCTTTCGTTTATGCCTTAAGTAACCTTCTGTCTTATGTAACCGTACCAAACTTAACATATCATACTAATTTGAGAGTCCCGGAGTTACGCTTACTATGTTACGTCTAGTCTATGAAACCAGGCTGAGAGTACGCATGTCTGTTTTAATACACAACAACAACAACAACAACAACAACATGGAGACGTTAGATGCAAGAAGGCAGACACTGGCCATGTCACTTCCTGATTCACCAGTCCACTTCCAGTCCACTTCCTGATTCACCAGTCCACTTCCAGTCCACTTCCTGGTTCACCAGTCCACTTCCAGTCCACTTCCGGGTTCACCAGTCCACTTCCAGTCCACTTCCTGGTTCACCAGGTTTGGCACACTTTGTCATCATATTCTCCTCCTCTGGCAACATGAGGTCATTGATGAGGTCATGCAGAACATGACCCACAGAGACACAGAAACACCACTTCCTCATCAGCAGCACTATACTCATTCTACCACTGATCCTTTCTTCGCATGTCAACTATCAACCACAGTACCGTACGTGAATATCTTCATGCAGATCAGTCTGTAGAGTTTCTGCGCGTTACTGTCTTCCTCTCTCTTTCTAACAGCTGACTAGTCGTCCTCTCCCTATATTCAGTGTGTCAGTGTAGCAGACATGACGTAGCCCTGCCAGTGACTTCAGGCCAGTGACCAGTGTCAGCCTTCGGCCCAAGAGGGGAATTTCCTCTTGGTCTAAAGGTTAAGAAGTCGTTTTCTCCCGTGGAGGACCCTGGTATATATCCCGCCCCTGACATTCCCGTCTTCCTCTCTACCTGAATGTGAATCTGTGAGGGAACCGGAGATGGAAGTAACACAGCCTGAGCAAGTACCGCCTCCTGCCTCTCCCAGAGCGCCGGCGGCCATATTGGATGATCTGGGCGCGGCCCCTCTTAAACCTGTAGTTGTCCTGGTCTGATGACCTCAGTCTGACGAGCGGTGCCCCCTGGTGTCTGGGAGTGTTGTTGCGTCTCCTGACACTCACACCACCGTGCTGATGCGGTTGATTGGCTTGGACTTGGAGCTGCCGGTGCTCCCCGTGCCCGTGCTGCTGCCGCTGCCCCCGCCAGACCCCTGGAGCTGGGGCGGCTGACCGGGCTGCTGCTGGAGGGGGTGGGAGTAGGGGGAGAGAGGGGTATTGGGGGAGGAAGGGGGGGGTAAAGGGGAATGTGAAGGGGGAGGGGGTATGGAGGAGAGCGGGGGGTACTGAGGGTGGTATTGGCCGTGGGAGGCGGCCTGGGTGATGTGCCGGGCGACGGGGGTCTGGGGCGGCGGGGCAGCGAAGACGAAGTGAGTCTGGTGCTGGGAGTGTTGAGCGGGATGGGGGCTGTGGGACAGGCCGGGGTGGGGGCTGTGGTTGTGGGTAAGAGCGGTATGATGAGGGGCGTGGGTGTGGGCGTGAGGGTGGGGCTGCGAGTGTGAGAGCGTAAGAGGGAGCTTGGCGCCTCCTCCACTTCCCCGACCGTGTGTGGAGTATGTGTGGTAGAGGGTAAGGGGTGCGGGCACCGGGGAGTGAGGGGGGTGAGGTGGGTGAGGGGAGTGAGGGGGATGTGGTGAAAGGGGTGGAGTGGGGCAGCCTACGCCCATAGAAACCCCCATGTTGGTATAGCGCCCCCCGTGACCCTGTACACCATGCTGCTGCACCTGGGAGAGCTGCTGGAGCTGGGGGTGGGAGGGAGCGGGACCGGGGCCCGGCCGCTTGGGGACCCCCACCATGGGGCCCCTGTGGATGGTATGAGGCCCAGGAGCCCCCTGGGCGGTGGAGGAGGGCTGGCTGGGAGCGGGCCCTGTCTGGGCGTGGTAGCAATGGTGGTGGTGGTAGGGTGGAGGAGGCTGCTGCCCTGCGATACTGTTGTGGCAGTACTGCGCGTGCAGGGCCTGGATCTTGGAGGGCCCTCCTGGGTCGGAGTGGGTGAGGGAGGAGGGGGAGTGTGGGGGCGGGCCGCCGGTGGTGGGCGGGGGGACAGGTGCAGGGTAGTGTGGCAGCCCAGGTGGGAGGAGAGGGGTGAGAGGACCAGGGGGCTTGGTGCTGGAGCGCTTGCTCCCGAACAGGGAACCCAGGAAGGATCCTCCACTGCCCCCTCCCCCTCCAGACCCGCTCCCCGGGGCTCCCGTCCCCCCTCGGTCTCCGCTGCTGGGACCCAGTGCCGTCGTCCCAGTAGCGGTGTGATGATTTAGCCCCGGCCCACCCCCCACCCCCGTTCCGGGGCTCAGGATGGGGCGGTGAGGCCGGTAGTCTTGGATGTCATAGCAGCCGGGTGGCATTACACCTCCAGCCATGTGGGGGCGCTGGTGAAGCCGGGGACTGCTAATGATGGAGCCCTGACGAGAGAGGGATAGGAGGAGAGGAGGAAGAGAGAGGAGACAGAGGGGAGGAGGGAGAGAGGGGAGGTAGAGGAGGAGACAGAGAGGAGGAGGGAGAGAGGGGAGGAGGGAGAGAGGAGAGGAGGGAGAGAGGGGAGGGGAGGAGGGAGAGAGGAGAGGAGAGGAGGGAGAGAGGAGAGGAGGAGACAGAGAAGAGGGAGGAGAGGAGCGTAAGAAACGAGTAAGAGGAGAGAGAAGAAAAGGAGAAGAGGAGAGAGAAGAAAGGAGAAGTAGGAGAGAGCAGAAAGAGAAAGAGAGAGAGAAGAAAGGAGAAGAGGAGAGAGAAGAAAAGGAGAAGAGGAGAGAGAAGAAAGGAGAGGCAGTTAAGTACCGTTTTTATTTGATCATTATGTGGATAGATCACACACATACAGTAAACTACTGACAGCTGTTAAAATAACACAATTCACATGCAATTCTCATAACATTTTCCATGCACAAGCCTCAAAACAGACAACTTTACATCAGTGAGTTTACAGTGTTGGGGAGTAGTGAACTACACGTAGTCCAACTAGTAATTTAACTACATTTCACAGTAGCTTGGTGGTAGTTTGAACTAAATTCAAATAATAGTAGTATTTTCAGCAGTTCATACCTTTTTTGGCATGTAACGGTGTAAATAAATACTACACACTACATTTTTTTGCAACAACAAAAAAATATTGAAAATATGAAGTGAAGTAGTCAAGAATGAATTTGTTTGTCTGCATCAGACCTTCCTGATTCTCACCTTCAAACATAGTGGTTGTGTTTAATAGGCCACGTTACACATTCTGTTAACATCTGACTTCAGACTATGACATTTCAAATGTAGATATTAACTTTGATTAAGTCAATTATGTTATTCTTAAGGGTAGCTTTAGTGTAGTTTAACTTCTTCCAGTGTGAAGTAAACTACATTTTCAGAGTAGCTTCCCCAACACTGTTTATTGAAATTCTATTTTAGTGCACAAATCCTACCAGCAACTGGTGAGGCAAACACATGCATGTTAGGACCATTTCAATCCACATCGATATCAACCAGTAGTGAATAGTACCATGCAGGGGGGTGCTGAGAACATCCATCATGCATCATCATGCCATTTAATGAAGTAGACTAGAGTTTGGGGAAGGGGGGTTATGAGAGCAGCCGTCCCCCCTCCCCTGTCCACCCTCCCCCCTCCCCCCTCCCCCCTCCCCCCCCCTCCCCCTCTATACCAGACTACCAGACTTACTTCCATGGTACTGTCCAAAGAGCCAACACTGTTCCGGCGGCCCCGCTTCCCTGCACCCAGCAAGGAATAACAAAAGTCATATTTTGCTCTGTCATGCAGCCGGCCGGACAGTAGGTGGAGACAAAGCACCACACATTAAAAAGCTCATCAGCTCCTTAAAACTCTCTATCTCATCTCCTCTCTAGTCTCGGTCTCTCTATTCTCTGTCTCTCTATCTCTCTCTCTCTTCTCTCTCATCTGTCTCTCTCTCGTCTCTCTCTCTCTGTCTCTCTCTCTCTCTCTCTCTCTCTCTATGTCTCTCGTCTCTCTCTCTCTGGGTCTCTCTCTCTCTGTCTCTCTGTCTCTCTCTCTCTCTCTCTCTCTCTCTCTCTCCTCTCTCTCTCTCTCTCTCTCTCTCTCTCTCTCTGTCTCTCTCTCTCGCGCGCTCTGATCACGATCTGTTCTATAATTAACCCTTCCCTCCCTCACAGCACAGCAGGCCTTGGCTCTGACCAGTCTGTACAGCACTTGCTGAATGACTGTTTCAAACTGAAGAATCTGACAGATGTCTGTTCTCCAACATATCTTCACAATGTGACAAATTAGCCATTCAATATTTTAGATGTCTAGACCAGAGTAAAAATAAATGGGAAATTGAAAAGGTTGTGTATATTTTCTGAAAAGCAACTCATAAGGTTGGGTTTAGTGGGTGTATAAAAAGGGTTGTATAATGTCCGTGTGTATGTCACATGGATGAGGTAAAATAATGGGGTGTGTGTGTGTGGTGTGTGGGGTGTGTGTGATGTTGTGGTGTGGGTGTGTGTGGTGTGTGTGTGAGTGGGGAGTGTGTGTGGGGTGGGTGGGTTTTTGTGTGTGTCTACCTGTGTCTGATAGGTCTCTCAGTGATGAGCTGAGCGCGGTACGTTTGAGTCCATCTGCGGAAGCATAGCTGTCATCCAGACAGGGTCGACCCAGAGTACCATTCACCGCCTCGCCCTTCAAGCCACCACCCGGACCACCACCATCAGCCACCGCCCAACAGGTCTCATCACCCTTTCTGCTTCTCAACTCCGCTGTAGAGGGGGAGGAGAGAGGAGAGATGGAGGAGAGGGGAGGATGGAGAGGAGAGAGAGATGGAGAGGGGGAGGAGAGAGGAGAGTGAGGATGGAGAGGGGGAGGAGAGCGAGATGGAGAGGGGGAGAGGGAGAGGGGAGGAGGGAGAGAGGAGAGAGAGATGGAGAGGGGGGAGGAGAGAGGAGAGAGAGAATGGAGAGGGGGAGGAGAGCGAGATGGAGAGGGGGAGGGAGAGGGAGAGGGGGGAAGAGGAGGGGGAGGAGAGAGAGAGAGAGAGATGGAGAGGGGGAGGGAGAGAGGAGAGAGAGATGGAGAGGGGGAGGAGAGCGAGATGGAGAGGGGAGAGGAGAGGGGGGAGAGGGGGAGGAGAGAGGATGAGAGAGATGGAGAGGGGGAGGAGAGAGGAGGAGGAGAGAGGGAGAGGGGGGGAGAGAGGAGAGAGATGGAGAGGAGGAGGAGAGCGAGATGGAGAGGAAGAGGGGGAGGAGAGAGGAGAGATGATGGAGAGGGGGAGGAGAGAGAGATGGAGAGGGGGAGGAGAGAGAGATGGAGAGGGGGAGGTGAGAGAGATGGAGAGGGGGAGGAGAGAGAGATGGAGAGAGATATGGAGAGGGGGAGGAGAGAGAGATGGAAAGGGGGAGAGGAAGAGAGAGATGGAGATGGGGAGGAGAGAGAGATGGAGATGGGGAGAGGGAGAGAGAGGGAGAGGGGGAGGAAAGAGAGAGGGAGAGAGAGGGAAAGAGAGAGGATGCTGTGATGCTGTCTCTTGTAGTATAGTATAGTATAGTATAGTATAGTATAGTATTACTCACACTCCACCCTGTATTTCTCCATCTCCTGCACCTCAGTGATGCTGTCTCTTGTAGTATAGTATAGTATAGTATAGTATAGTATAGTACTACTCACATTCCACCCTGTATTTCTCCATCTCCTGCACCTCAGTGATGCTGTCTCTTGTAGTATAGTATAGTATAGTATAGTATAGTATAGTATAGTATAGTATAGTATAGTACTACTCACATTCCACCCTGTATTTCTCCATCTCCTGCACCTCAGTGATGCTGTCTCTTGTAGTATAGTATAGTATAGTATAGTATAGTATAGTATAGTATAGTATAGTATAGTATAGTACTACTCACATTCCACCCTGTATTTCTCCATCTCCTGCACCTCGGTGATGCTCTCTCTCAGGTCGGAGGTGAAGCGTGTTCTGTCCTGCTGACTTGGAGCGTTTAATACAATCAGAACCTTCCTCTCCCCGCCAGGATTGGCCGACGTCAGACGAATACCGTGGGGATAGTCTACAGGGGAGAGTGGACACATACTGTACAGCTTTAGACAATATCGATCATAGTCTGCTGATGGAAAAACATATATGTGTTATGGCTTTACACCCCCTGCTTATATTGTGGATAAAGAGTTACCTGTCTAACAGAACACAGAGGGTGTTCTTTAATGGAAGCCTCTACAACATAATCCAGGTAGAATCAGGAATTCCCCAGGGCAGCTGTCTAGGCCCCTTACTTTTTCTCAATCTTTACTAACGACATGCCACTGGCTTTGAGTAAAGCCAGTGTGTCTATGTATGCGGATGACTCAACACTATACACGTCAGCTACCACAGCAACTGAAATGACTGCAACAATTAACAAAGAGCTGCAGTTAGTTTCAGAATGGGTGTCAATAAATAAGTTAGCATTGTATGTGGACAAATCATTCACTAAACCCTAAACCTCAACTAAATCTTGCAATGAATCATGTGGAAATTGAGCAAGTTGATGAGACTAAACTGCTTGGAGTAACCCTGGATTGTAAAAACGTCTTGGTCAAAACATATTGATACAACAGCAGCTAGGATGGGGAGAAGTCTGTCCATAATAAAGCGCTGCTCTACCTTCTTAACAACACTATCAATAATATGCCATTTAGCAGACACTTTTATCCAAAGCGACTTACAGTCATGCGTGCATACATTTTTGTGTATGGGTGGTCCCGGGGATCGAACCCACTACCTTGGCGTTACAAGCGCCATGCTCTACCAGCTGAGCTACAGAGGACCACAACAAGGCAGGTCCTACACGCCCTAGTTTTGTTGCACCTGGACTATTGTTCAGTCGTGTGGTTAGGTCCCACAAAAAAGGACTTAAGATAATTGCAATTGTATCACTTTCCCATCATTGAACAGGAAGAGGGTTTAAAATGGGCTCCTCTATTGTGATCTGATCAACTAATGTATACTGTGATCTACAGTATATCCACAGTTAAATTAGTCCTATATCGACATAACCTGAAAGGCCACTCAGCAAGGAAGAAGCCACTGCTCCAAAACCGCCATAAAAAAGCCAGACTACGGTTTGCAACTGCACATGGGGACAAAGATCGTACTTTATGGAGAAATGTCCTCTGGTGTGATGAATATAACTATTTGGCCATAATGACCATCGTTATGTTTGGAGGAAAAAGGGGGAACGCTTGCAAGCCGAAGAACACCATCCCAACCGTGAAGCACAGGGGGTGGCAGCATCATGCTGTGGGGGTGCTTTGCTGCAGGGGGGACTGGTGCACTTCACAAAATAGATTGCATCATGAGGAAGGAAAATGATGTGGATATATTGAAGCAACATCTCAAGACATCAGTCAGGAAGTTAAAGCTTGGTCGCAAATAGGTCTTCCAAATGGACAATGACCCCAAGCATACTTCCAAAGTTGTGGCAAAAAGGTATAAGGACAACAAAGTCAAGGTATTGGTGGCCATCACAAAGCCCTGACTTCAATCCTATAGAAAATCTGTGGGCAGAACTGAAAAAGCGTGTGCGAGCAAGGAGGCCTACAAACCTGACTCAGTTACACCAGCTCTGTCAGGAGGAATGGGCCAAAATTCACCCAACCAATTGTGGGAAGCTTGTGGAAGGCTACCCGAAACGTTTGACCCAAGTTAAACAATTTAAAGGCAATGCTACCAAATACTAATTGAGTGTATGTAAACTTCTGACCCACTGGGAATGTGATGAAATAAATAAAAGCTGAAATAAATCATTCTCTCTTCTATTATTCTGACATTTCACATTCTTCAAATAAAGTGGTGATCCTAACTGACCTAAGACAGGGATTTTTTACTAGGATTAATTGTCAGGAATTGACTTCAACTGTATTTATAGTGGATAGATAGATAGATAGACAGACAGACAGACAGACAGACAGACAGACAGACAGACAGACAGACAGGCAGGCAGGCAGACAGGCAGGCAGGCAGGCAGGCAGGCAGGCAGGCAGGCAGACAGACAGACAGACAGACAGACAGACAGACAGACAGACAGACAGACAGACAGACAGACAGACAGACAGACAGACAGACAGACAGACAGACAGACAGACAGACAGACAGACAGACAGACAGACAGACAGACAGACAGACAGACAGACAGACAGACAGACAGACAGACAGATAGATAGATAGATAGATAGATAGATAGATAGATAGATAGATAGATAGATAGATAGATAGATAGATAGATAGATAGATAGATAGATAGATAGATAGATTCTCACTTTGGGAGAAGGGTGGAGAATCCGGACGTAGTATTGGAATATGTGAACTTCCTTCTCGACCCCTCACACACATACACAAACCCAAACAAACACACACAGAGATACTTACACTGGTTCTGGAACATGTGGACCTGCATCTCGACCAGCGGGAAGGACTGTCTAAAACTATATGTTACAGACGTCTTCTTCTTCTGGAAGATCTTGGTTACCTAGGGAGAAGAGGGGTGACATCTTTCTTTACGTTTCCATCCATTCTGATGTGCTCTGCAGGCCAGAGGGGGTGACCACTGAAACACCGTCCTTGATAAAGCTTGGAACATGGGCTTTTTGTGACGACTCTGGAACTATTCAGAGACTATTCTCAGACCATTGTATCAGCTAACTAAGGCGAACAGAACACGTTTGACATGTATATGACTCAGATCTGTATTGTAATGATATAAAAAGGCAAGTCTATATGGTACAGACGTAACGCTCCGAGGGCACACAGGTGAGTCTTACCATAAGCATGTCGTTGAAGAGGAAGACTTCTCTCTGGTGGACTCCAGTCCTCTGGCTTCTGTTAGGGTCAGGCACCTCGTACAGCTGACAGCAACACACCAACCTGCGGTGGGGCAGCGAAAGCACCTACACACACACATTATTATTAATATTATTCACAGAGACAGAACCTGGCAGACAGAACCTGACAGACATATCCTGGCAGACAGAACCTGGCAGACAGAACCTGGCAGACAGAACCTGGCAGACAGAACCTGGCAGCAACACCTCTACACACACATTATTATTATTAATATTCACAGAGACAGAACCTGGCAGACAGAACCTGGCAGACAGAACCTGGCAGACAGACCCTGGCAGTAACACCTCTACACACACATTATTATTATTAATATTCACAGAGACAGAACCTGGCAGACAGAACCTGGCAGACAGAACCTGACAGACAGAACCTGGCAGACAGAACCTGGCAGACAGACCCTGGCAGACAGACCCTGGCAGTAACACCTCTACACACACATTATTATTATTAATATTCACAGAGACAGAACCTGGCAGACAGAACCTGGCAGACAGAACCTGGCAGACAGGACCTGGCAGACAGAACCTGGCAGACAGACCCTGGCAGCAACACCTCTACACACACATTATTATTATTAATATTCACAGAGACAGAACCTGTCAGACAGAACCTGGCAGACAAAACCTGGCAGATAGAACCTGACAGACAGAACCTGGCAGACAGAACCTGGCAGACAGAACCTGGCAGACAGAACCTGGCAGACAGAACCTGGCAGCAACACCTCTACACACACATTATTATTATTAATATTCACAGAGACAGAACCTGGCAGACAGAACCTGGCAGACAGAACCTGACAGACAGAACCTGGCAGACAGAACCTGGCAGACAGAACCTGGCAGACAGAGCCTGGCAGCAACACCTCTACACACAGCAGATTAAAAGTTTACATACTGTATATCAGATATGTTTACTACTGAATATGTGCTGTTTTCCCCACAGGAACAATTCAAAAATCAAGTTCACCAGTGTGCTAGAGTTTCCTTTCTATTCATTTCAAAAGTAACAGATATTGTCTAACGTATCTTACGTATATTCTTATATTTATATTATAACTTTATTTAAATTATATTTAACTTATATTCTGATATTTTCTAACCTATTTAAATTACACTATATATACAAAAGTATGTGGACACCCTTTCAAATTAGTTGATTTGGCTATTTCAGCAACACCCGTTGTTGACAGTTGTTTAAAATCGAGCACACAGACATGCAATCTCCATAGACAAACATTGGCAGTAGAATGGCCTTACTGAAGAGCTCAGTGACTTTCAACGTGGCACCGTCATAGGATGCTACCTTTCCAACAAGTCAAATTTCTGCCCTGCTAAAGCTTCCCCGGTCAACTGTAAGTGCTGTTATTGTGAAGTGGAAACGTCTAGGAGCAACAACGGCTCAGCCGCGAAGTGGTAGGCCACACAAGCTCACAGAACGGGACCGCCGAGTCCTGAAACGCGTAGCGCGAAAAAATCGTCTGTCCTCGGTTGCAACACTCACTACCAGTTTCTAAACTGCCTCTGGAAGCAATGTCAGCACAAGTACTGTTCATCGGGAGCTTCATGAAATGGGTTTCCATGGCTGAGCAGCCGCACACAAGCCTAAGATCACAATGCGCAATGTCAAGCGTCAGCTGGACTGGTGTTAAGCTCGCCGCCATTGGACTCTGGAGCAGTGGAAACAAGTTCTCTGGAGTGATGATTCACACTTCACCATCTGGCAGTCCGACGGAACAATCTGGGTTTGGCGGATGCCAGGAGTACGCTACCTGCCCCAATGCATAGTGCCAACTGTAAAGTTTGGTGGAGGAGGAATAATAGTCCGGGGCTGTTTTTCATGGTTCGGGCTAGGCCCCTTAGTTCCAGTGAAGGGAAATCTTAACGCTACAGGATACAATGACATTAATATTCTAGATTATTCTGTGCTTCCAACGCTGTGGCAACAGTTTGGGGAAGGCTCTTTCCTGTTTCAGCATGACAATACCCCATGCACAAAGGTCCATACAGAAATGGTTTGTCGAGATCGGTGTGGAAGAACTTGACTGGTCTGCGCAATGCCCTGACCTCAACCCCATCAAACACCTTTGGGATGAATTGGAACGCAGACTGCGAGCCAGGCCTAATCGCCCAACATCAGAGCCCGACCTCACTAATGCTCTTGTGGCTGAATGGAAGCAAGTCCCCTCAGCAATGTTCCAACATCTAGTGGAAAGCCTTCCCAGAAGAATGGAGGCTGTTATAGCAGCAAGGGGGGGACCAACTCCATATTAATGCCCATGATTTTGGCAGGAGATGTTCGACGAGCAGGTGTCACACATACTTTTGGTCGTGTATATTCTGAGCCCGAGCAGGCAGTGACTGTAGACATTAATACAGTATGCAGACTTACAGGCTTCTTGCCGACTACCACCCTCTCCACAGCCTGTACTTGAGACACATGGTCATCGTTGGTGCGTAGCTCCCATTTCTCTATCCGATGGTAGATCCCTACTAACAGGTCTCTGGGAATGTCCTGACCATTATCCACTCCTGGGAGAGACATAACATCCATAGGGGAGAGTGTGTTAGTAAAGAGAGAAAATAAGTTACTATACAGATTCCGTCCAAATGCTGTAGAACAAAGAGGGAGAGGTAAAGAGACAGAATGAAAGGCTGAGATAACAAAAGATAAGAGGGCCAATAAAGTGAGAGAAATAGATGTAGTACACATTCCGGTGTTTGTTTTGAGGAGTAAGAATGAATGAGTCAGGCGGGGAAACAACCATCTGAAAACAGTCAGCATCCTTCCTCACCTCTGAGGTTTTTGATGAAGTCCTCCAGCTTCATCTTCCTCTCTGGCTTGACATTGGGAGAGTACATGTCTGTGTTGAGGAGGATGATGGCGAAGGCCAGGATGAAGATGGTGTCGGGGTTCTGGAACTGTCGGATCAGCACCGGGTTACACACGCAGTACCGCTGACTGGAGGGGTGAAGATATGGAGATTAAGAGAAAGAGAGGGAGAGTGAGCGAGGGAGAGAGGAGAGTGAGGGAGAGAGGAGAGTAAGGGAGAGAGGAGAGGGAGCGAGGGAGAGAGAGGAGAGAAGAGAGAGAGAGAGAGAGAGAGAGAGAGAGAGAGAGAGAGAGAGAGAGAGAGAGAGAGAGAGAGAGAGAGAGAGAGAGAGAGAGAGAGAGAGGGAGAAGAGAAGAGAGAGAGTCAGAATTATCCAAAACTAAAATTTCAATACATAGTCTGTATGTCCCCAGTATAAATAGTCTGTATGTCCCCAGTATAAATAGTCTGTGTGTCCCCAGTATAAATAGTCTGTATGTCCCCAGTATAAATAGTCTGTATGTCCCCAGTATAAATAGTCTGTATGTCCCCAGTATAAATAGTCTGTATGTCCCCAGTATAAATAGTCTGTGTGTCCCCAGTATAAATAGTCTGTATGTCCCCAGTATAAATAGTCTGTATGTCCCCAGTATAAATAATCTGTATGTCCCCAGTATAAAAGTATGTTCATAAGTCAGTATAGAAAGTCCTTAATGCCAGTACAAAAAGTAATTAAGTCCCAGTATCTGAAGGGCTCTATTTTTTTTTCCACTTTCTGGGCCTCTCCTTGGACTGTAGGGCTCTAACCAGTGATGTATTTGATATTATAAACTGGGTGGTTCGAGCCCTGAATGCTGATTGGCTGAAAGCCGTGGTATATCAGACCGTATACCATGGGTATGACTAAAAACTTATTTTTCTGCTCTATTTATGTTGGTAACCAGTTTATAATAGCAATAAGGCACCTCGGGGGTTTGTGGTATATGGCCAATATATCACGGCTAGGGGCTGTATCCAGGCTGTATACTTTGCATTGCCTCGTGCTTAAGAATAGCCCTTAAACGTGGTACATTGGCCATATACCACACCGCCTCTGTTTTTTTTTGCATACTATAACTATATTCTCACCTGAAAGCCTCTACCAGTCGCTCCACCTTCTGGGCCTCCCCCTGCACTTTAATCTGGGCCTGGAACTTCCTGAGGGCATCATCCAGATCCATCCTTGAGAAGTCCAACTCATCTACCACACAACTGGACAGGGAGAAAGAGGAGAGGTAAAGGATGACGGAGAGTTTAGAGAGGATACAGTGAGCAATTTCTAAACATATAGTGTGCTTTATGTTCATTGTACAAGTATCAATCAATCATTTAATCAGTCAGTCAAATATACTCTTCGGTTTTGTAGGTCGCTCTCATTGCAGAGCCCCAAAACACCTACGAATCTATTGATTTAGCCACTCACTCCAGTACGTCCTTGTTGAACTGTTTCTGCCTGCAGCCCAGGAACTCCCCTATCATCTGTCTGCTCAGTCCTTTCCTCTCCAGGATGAAGCGGGCGATGCCTACTGGGGTGTCCGATACGAAGCCTCTCTCTATCAGGTACTGGATACCCTTCTCTGGCTTCCTGCAGCGAGGGAGAGACACAGAGAAACAGAAATCATTATAAAATATATGCCACTTAAATGTAGACACAGCGATATGACGTAGATGCCAAAAAAATAAACAGCATAGTGGGTCAAGTTCCGCTAAACAACTAAGAGAGGTGACGTGCAAGGATCCACTTCTCCACTGTATTGGTCCCGGGGCTGTACCGCATTGTAAGAGCGTGAAGCGAACTCATTCACATGTGTGAGAGCAAAGTCTGGCATCTCGCTCATCGTAATATCATCGTTTTCGCTGAGTCTACCTTTAACAGACACTTTAATCCAAAGTGACTTAAAGTGGAACTGACAGCATTTTAGCAACATGAAATCTTATTAAAATCTGTTCATATAAGAATATGACACCATTTTTTTTTTTTTTTTTTTTTACATGTTCTGCCAAGCGAGCACTTAGATATGGTCATTTTCACGTTTTCATAAATTCATAAGAATGTTTGGGGATGACGTATAGTTGTCACGAGTGTCAGTGTAATGCGGTGGATCGAAGTCAGGAGAATCCGTGACAGTAGTAAGTCCTTTGTGAAAATTCTATAGAAATATAGAGTGGGAAAGCGGTCGTGCGTTTGGACAGTTAATAGACACTGCAGGAAATAAAACCTAATAAAAACATCTGTCTCGTCCAGAACCGGAGTCTACGCAGACCGGTGAGCCATAGCCAATCCGAACTACAGTAGGCCTATATGTAAACAAGTCCATTTGCCACATGGGCCTGCCAGCATTCACTTTGAACTGGACTGTGTGTTTACAGGCAGTAGCAACAGCGCGACTTTAGATCATTAGAACGCATTCGCCAAAAGCCACAAAATACACCTGAATGGATTTCTGCAAATATGTAAGTCCTCTTAGATTTGGGAAAGACACAGTCCTACTGATCAAACAACCATGACAAGGTAGGCTATCTCTCCCTCAGTTGCCTACGCACATCAACAAGATCAACAACTAATGCTAGCCAGAGTGAGATGAGCTAAAATCTAACGAGCGAATATTAGATAAACCCTCTCAAACTTTTTCAGCTAGTTGGCCGTCAAAATTGCATTGGCAGGCAATTGCAGCTTGCCTGCCAATGCATGCTCGTTCCGACCCACGTTTTGACAACTGAATGGGAACTTGCCTGCCCGCCCATTTGATTGACGCCAAATACATTTGATCGACAACTAAGAGGTTTGCTAACTGTGGATAAGTCGTTCAAGTTCAGCATAGCTCGCTTGCTAGCAAAGCGATTCACGTTTCTTGCTAGCTAACCAACATCGCTAGTTGTAGCTACCGAAAAATGATATGAGGGAGAAAAGTAATTCACCCACTACTCCAATGACGTGACATCCTCCCAGCAGCTACCTAGCTAATGTTAGGCTCCGTGTTTTTAGCATGCTAAATAAATAGCTAGCTACATAAATAGATACGCTAGCCCAGGGATGTCAAATTCAACCAGCACACGGGCCATATTGAAAAAAATGCAACGAATTCGCGGGCCAGACATAGACTATTTGTTTTTACAAAAAAAACATGCAACTGCAACCCAAACTGGCCATAGTTTTATTTCAAAAATGTATTTATAACATTTAAACTCATTTGTTTTGCACTGCATGGATCACCAGTGTGGTTGAATGCAGCATTACTGTATTGTGCAGTCTAAATGTATTGTAGTGGATAAGCCTAGGCTACTGCTCAAATGTTTATAAAACAAAGCTTTAATATTGCAGATAGATTGTAGCTTCCATCAACGTAATTGTCTGCATCATTTCCAATGTTTGTAAATATACAGTATATACAGTACCAGTCAAAAGTTTGGACACACTTACTCATTCCAGGGTTTTTCTTTATTTTTACTATTTTCTACATTGTAGAATAATAGTGAAGACATCAAAACTATGAAATAACACATATGGAATCATGTAGTAATCAAAAAAGTGTTAAACAAATCAAAATATATTTTATATTTGAGATTCTTCAACGTAGCCACCCTTTGCCTTGATGACAGCTTTGAAATCAGTAGGTGTGTCCAAACTTTTGACTGGTACTGTATATATATTTAAAAAAAAAAATATATATATATATATATATATATATATATATATATATATATGTCTATTTGCAATATATTTTTAACTGTGCTCTTTCACAAAAGTTATGTACCTACCCCCCTGTGCATTCAGAAAGTATTCAGACCCATTGACTTTTTCCACATTTTTTTACGTTACTGCCTTATTCTAACATGGATTAAATTGTTCTACACACAATACCCCATAATGACAAAGCGAAAACAGGCTTTTAGATGTATTACAAATAAAAAACTGAAATATCACATTTACGTAAGTATTCAGACCCTCAACATTTGCAAAGTGAATACCACTGCGCATCCTCAAAGCATGCGCAGACCAGCTGGCAAGTGTCTTCACAGACATTTCCAATCTCTCCTGGTCCCAGTCTGTATTTCCAACAATGTTTCAAGCTGACCACCATCATTCCTGTCCCCAAGAGCACCAAGGTAACCTGCCTAAATGACTATCGCCCCTGTAGCGCTCTTATGAAGTGCTTTGAAAGGCTGGTCATGGCACACATCAACACCATCATCCCAGACACTTAAGACCCACTCCAATTCGCATACCGCCAGAACAGATCCACAGATGACGCAATCTCTATTGCACACTGTCCTCTCCCACCAGGACAAGAGGGGAAATAACTATGTGAGAATGCTGTCCATAGACCCCAGCTCAGCGTTCAACACCATGTCACCTCCCTAGTCCTCTCCAAGCTCATCACCAAGCTAGGGGACCCTGGGACTGAATCCCTCCTTCTGTAACTGGATCCTGGATTTGCCGCCCCCAGGTGGTGAGGGTAGGCAACAACACCTCAGCCACGCTGACCCTCAACACGGGGGCCCCTCAGGGGTGCGTGCTCAGTCCCCTCCTGTACTCCCTGTTCACGCACGACTCCAACACCCTCATCAAGATTGCTGACGACGCGACGGTGGTAGGCCTGATCACAGACGGCGATGAGTCAGCCTACAGGGAGGAGGTCAGAGACTTAGCAGGGTGTTGCCAGGACAACAACCTCTCCATCAACGTCAGTAAGACCAAGGAGCTGATGGTGGACTACAGGAGAAAGAGGGGAGACCACGCCTCCATCCACATCGACGGGGCTGTAGTGGAGCGGGCTGAGAGCTTCAAGATCCTTTTTGCCCACATCACTAAGTACTTAACATGGTCCACACACACACCGCCACAGTCGTGAATAGGGCACGGCAGCGCCTCTTCCCCCTCAGGAGGCTGAAAAGATTTGGCATGGGCCCTCAGATCCTCAAAAGGTTACACAGCTGCACCATCGAGAGCATCTTGACTGGCTGCATCACCGCTTGGTATGGCAAATTGCACCTCCCTTGACCTCAAAGAGCTACAGAGTGCAGACCAGTGGCGGTCAGTGACGTTTAAGATGAGGGAGGTTTAAATTATTTCTATTACAGCATATTGGATGTAGTGGAGCGGGCTGAGAGCTTTAAGTTCCTTGGCGTCCACATCACTAAGAACTTAACATGGTCCACACACACCTGTGCAGTTGTGAATAGGGCACGTCAGCGCCTCTTCCCCCTCAGGAGGCTGAACATATTTGGCATGGTCCCTTGGATCCTAAAACAGTTCTACAGCTGCACCATCGAGAGCATCTTGACTGGCTGCATCACCGCTTGCTATGGTAAATGCACATCCGACCACAAAGCTCGACAGAGGGTGGTGCGGACGGCCCAGTACATCACTGAGGCTGAGCTCCCTGCCATCCAGGACCTCTATATCAGAGAGTGTGAAAGGAAGGCCCGAAAAACTGCCAAAGTCTCCAGCCACAGACTGTTCACTCTGCTACCATCCGGCAAACGGTACCAGAGCAGCGGCTCTCGGACCAACAGGCTCCGAGACAGCTTCTAACCCTAAGCTATAACACTGCTAAATAGTAAATTAATGGTACCCAAACTATCTGCACTGACCCTACACACACTCACTAGACTATATATATATATATATACACACTCACACTACATTGATATTTTAGTCATTTAACATACGCTCTTATCCAAAGCAACTTACAGGTGCAATTAGTGTTAAGTGCCTTGCTCAAGGGCACATCAACATATTTTTTACCTAGTCGGCTCAGGGATTCAAACCAGAAACCCTTCGGTTACTGGCCCAACACTCTTAACTGCTAGGCTACGTGCTGCCACGCAAAACCACATACACATACACTACATACTAATAATACGCACACACGGAAAGACACACACACACACAAACACACATACAGCATAACATAAACTGTCCTGTATCACCACAGACAACGAGGCTGTAGTGGGGCAACTGAACTGGCCCGTGGCTAAATTGCTCAATCTCCATCTCGCTGTCACTAACGGCGTCTAGGGCCTATGGAGAACTCTGAGCTGACCTGCAGAAGGGCCAGATGGAGCTGAACCTCCCAAATCACAGCCTCATTCAGTTTGATCATTTATTTACAGTGTCTTCAGAAAGTATTCATACCCCTTGACTTATTCCACATTTTGTTTTGTGTTACAGCCTGAATTCAACATGGATTCAATGTTTTATTTTTTTCTCACGCATCTAAAACACAATACCCCATAATGACAAAGTGAAAACATGTTTTTAGAAATGTTTGCAAATGTATAGAAAATTAAATACGGAAATATCTCATTTACATAAGTATTCACACTCCTGAGTCAATGCTTAGTAAAAGCACCTTTGGCAGCGATTACAGCTGTGAGTCTTTCTGGGTAAGTCTCTAAGAGCTTTGCACACCTGGATTGTGCAACATTTGCCAATTATTATTTTCTAAATGCTTCAAGCTCTGTCAAATTGGTTGTTGATCATCGACTATGATCATTGCTAGACAACCATTTTCAGGTCTTGCCATAGATTTTCAAGTAGATTTAAATCAAAACTGTAACTCGGCCACTCC